TATAAACTCAATTGATAAAAATCTAATAAGGTCACAATTGTCATTTGACAATAAAGGATTATCTTTTTTCCTCACTATAATCATCATTTTTCCACCATTGTTGTCAGATAAAAAATTTTAACATGAAGATAAAATTCAACTCAAAAATTAAATGGGGCTATATAAAAAATTACATAAGGCTATTAAAAAATAAGATTAACAAAAATAAAGGTAACAAAAAATTACATGGGGCTGTAGCCCACACTAGCCTTAGGGTGGCTCCGCCCATGGACTACTCATATTAGATATGCTGATATAGAACACAATAATTTACAATATATTATTTGTATAAATTATTCAATCACAATAGTCTATTTTATATAATTACACAGGATTATTTATGTTTGTTTGAATTTTGCTAAATTATTCAACATAAAATCAAATTTATAATAAATTTGAAAGATGAGACCAGATAACAATTCGTCCTGAGATCAACACTGGGCACGCAGATTAAGGCTTCCGGGCTCCACTAATGTGAAAATTACACTTTCACCCCTACAAAAAAAAAAAAGAAAAAAAAAACTACCAACTATGGCATGAGAACCTATTGTTCAAAGCTAAGCTTGTCTGAAAACTCATGAGCTCACTATATCTTTTCTCAATCATTCCACAGAGCAAACAAAGGGGCCCGATGCCCCAGTCGCATTTCGGGCCCCCGGCCCAAACATGCCCGATCATCCCTCTCTTCATATCTCTCCCTATCGGGCTGCAAATGGGCCTCCGGATACCCTCCTTGGCCGCCCGACTCCAGACCAAACAGCCCGGACGTGTTCTGATTACTTGGGCCTCCGCCCGGATGCATAATATCTGCAGCTAGCGTATCCGAGTTAGGCTCGTCGTGGGACCATTTGGCGAGGTCGCTTGTGATGAGAGTCGAGCTGGAACAAATTCTCGTCACGTCGTATTTTGTTATGTCGAAATTCGTCACGGCACTTGTTCCCCTGAACTTGATGGCTGCAATATCATATGCTTCTGCAGCTTCTTCTTGTGTGCCTAAAAGTAATGTGTTATAGAATTTAAATTAGTCCATATATTTGGGGCAAAAATACATTTTTAGTCCTATTGGTTTAAGGACATAGCAATTTTAGTCTCAATGTTCCAACTTCCAACTTTCCGATTTTTTGTCATGTCACATCTTTTGCTGCAAATTTTAATCCTCAAATGACTTGGATTGCAGCAAATTTTTTATATTACATGACTAAAATTGCAATAAAATTTTAGATTACAGGACTTAAATTGCTAATCAAAAATTAAGAAATTTGGGAATTTGTTGCAATTTCAGTCTCAAAAGATTGGAATTGCAGCAAAATTTTAAAATACAAAACTGAAATTGCAAAATTTTAGATGACAGAACTTAAATTGCTAATCGAAAATCTAGAAATTTGAAAACTTGTTGCAATTGCAGTCCTCAAAAGGCTGAAATTGAAGCAAAATATTAAATCATAAGACCAAAAGGCGAAATGTTGGAACTATAGGACTAAAACTGATATGACGTTAAACCAACATGACAAAAAATACAATTTTGCATAAATTTGATGGGTGCTTGAAAGGTAAATCAAAGAGCATACTTTTTAAACGCGGACCTGCCCGGGAGGTCGACCCAGAGACGGAATTTGTCCGGGTGGGCTATTCAGACCGGGCATCAAAGGACCCGGTCAAACCCCGACCAACCCGGCCTTAACCCGGTCGACCCGGGGCATTGACCAGCTGAGTCAACCCGGTTGACCCGACTGAGTCAAACCTAGTTGACCCAACCCATATATATATATATTTTTATTATTTTTTAAAATATTTTTTGTTTTTAAAAAATAAACTATGTATATATATTTATATGGTAAATATTTATCATGAAATACATATTATTAACACTTTAATGTACAAATTTCATATACAAAAATTTAATTTTGTTATTTTTATGTATAGTTATATGATAAAATACTATATATATAATTTTAAAAATTTAAAATTAATTATTCGGTTTAGCAATTGACCAGACGACCCGACGGTTGAACCGGTGACCCGGAGACTTGCCCGGGTCCATTCCTGGTCCGGATTTAAAAACTATGTAAAAGAGAATTAAAAAAAAAAAAGAGAAAGTAGTATTGAGGCACACAAGGTACAATCACATAGAAGCATGCACTTACTGAAGGTACCAAGGTACAAGTCCTTGTTGCCTGCAACTCTTCCTATTCTGGCTTGCCACCTTCCATGCTGATGATGCCTGCAACACTGAGTTTAGGCCAAACAAAATGATATATAAAAAACAACTTTAAAAAAAAAAAAGGCATGGAAAAAACATGGACATAGTTTTATGGATAGTTTCTTAAATCCCATACTTAGATATATTGTGGAGTTATGGTACATTGTACTTTTAATGTCATACAACATCAACAACAACATACCCAGTATATTCTCGACTGGTTGGGCTCTAAGGGGTCAGTTATACGTAGACCTTACCCTTGTACTAATTATACAAGGAGGCTATTTTTGCGACGACCAAGGTGCATACTTTTAATGTCATATGGCACATAATTGTTGTTATATTGCATTTTGTCTTTATTATTGATTGTTGATAATTGGTGAAAGGAAAAGCTAAAGATACAAAATTACCTGAGATTTTAAGCCTATTTGTTAGACAAACATAAGTATGTTTGTTTGTTAATAAATTATGATTGGTCTACATGATTAATTGGACAATTATGAAACTTGAAAAGTGTAATTTCCATTATTTTACATTTATTTGTACTTATTTTCTGTAATTAACCCCTTTTTTTTTATAAATAATAGTAAAAGAATTATCAACAAAAATAAATGCAGAAAATCAAACAGTTGGAGACTTCTTTGGCGAATTTTTTACGAAAAAAAATTCTGAGCACAAGTGGTGGACAAAAAAAAAAAAAAAAAACAAAAACAGAGGTGTGGAAATAAATAAAACACACGTATTTATGAAATACGTTTTTTACAAAATTTAATTGAAAAACGTATTTCATGAATACGTTTTTCTTTATAAAAAATTCTGTAAAAACGTATTTCATGAATACGTTTTCCAACCAAATTGTGAAGAAACCGTATTTAGTGAATACATGGTTTTTATTTTGTTCCACTTCCTCCTTTGTTTTTTGTTTTTTGTCCACTTGTTTTTTATATATCAATAAATATATAAATTGTTCTGTCTTTGGCACATAATTTTGTTGCTTTTTATTCATTTACTTTTGTATTTTTCATGTTTATTACTTATTAATTACCTTGTTACTCCTCTGTACATGGATGCTCCTCTTGAAAACCCACTGCTTTTTCTAATTGAAAAAAATAAATAAAAAAATGTTAGAACTTAAATTCACTATCTTATTTAATAAAAAAATAACTTTTAAATTAAAGTTCAAGCAATAAAAAAAAGGAATTATATTGTTACCTTCTTAAATGAGCCACAAATTCTTGCCTACTCATGTTTTTCATCTCTTCAAGCTCTTTTTCATAGTTGCTGAGCTATTTTTTGTCACAAGAATAAGCAGAATTAAGTTTTGTATACTTAAATTGACATAAATTAATGAACATAATAACATTAAGGAAAAAAATTACAGGAAAATTTATATGTGTAGTGACTCCCCAATACTTCAAAGCAGCCAAATCATAAGCTCTAGCTGCTTTTTCTTCTTGATCATATCCACCTAAAAAAGAGCAAAAAAAAAAAAAGATTAATAAAAATAAATCTTTATATTTAAATACATGAAAAATATTTTAATTTTCAATATTAGTATTCCTTAATAAAAAAAGGTGGCAAAAACATACCAAGGTACACTGTTCCTCATTCCCCAGAAGATGCAGATAAATATAAAACCCAAAAAAAAAAACAATATTTGTTAGAATATATTTTCTCAAGCATTTAGATGCTATAGTACAAATATATATACATGTAGGGAAATGCTATAGTTTCGTTACGGAACCATTTTGTCGGGATTTATAATCGTTAGATCATCATGTAACTGTCGAGAATAGTTGATCTAACTGTTACATACCCGACGGAATGGTTCCGTAACGGAACACCGTAGCATTTTCCTGTACATATATTAATGAGAAAAATTTTTAAAACATATATATGTAAATATTTTGTGTCTTTCACCTTGCCTTCCTTTCCTTGTTTGCCCTTCCTTTCTGCAACTGTTGTCCCACAAATGTGCCTCATATCTTCCTGTCCATCTATGCCTATAAACAAAATAAAATATATATTATATTTTTTTTTTACTATTCCCTAAGAAAAACAAGGGAATGAATTTATTTAATTAGGGGTACTATATTTTCCAATCATTAATTGTAAAGTTACACCTTAATTAGGTATACTATAGTTTCCCTTAACAATTTGAACATTGTTTTTTTTTATTATTATTTTTGTGATGAAAATCATGGCTAACAATCCAATAAATAGAGAAAAAAAAAAGATAATTATTTTACTAAATTGACAAAATTTTCAAATTCTAATGGATTATTTTATTGGAAAATATACAGCCCCATTACGAAACCATTCCGTCTGGATTTGTAACCGCTGTCGTGAATAGTTGATCTAACGGGTTACTAATCGTGACGGAATGATTCCGTCACGTAGAATCTCTCTTTTTTATTTCTCTGATTATGATAAAAAAAAAAAAAAAGAAAAAAAAAAAAACTGATTAATAGATAATGAACCTGGTAACCCCACGATACCGAGAAGTTCTTTGCCCAAAAGTATCGATCGATTTACGAGGCAGATTCTCCCTAACTACCCCAGCCTTTGCCGGCGAACCCCGCTTCCTTACTTCCGCCGCCACTGGCGGTTGCGGCGCCGTCCGTGAGCCGGGGCTCACGGTCAAAGACAGCGCCTGAAAGTCACAGTGACCAGCCCCCTCCGCCGCGGATTTCTCATCCTGCGGAGACGGCCAACTCTTGAGACCTGAAACCGCCGCCGCACCACCGCCGGAGAAACCCGGCGGCGCCTGATAACCACCGTAGCCGTCGTAGGGTTGGAGAAAAAGAGACGGGCTGCTGAAGCTTTCCACACGGTGATCGACGGTGAATCCCGGCGGCGCGTTCACGTTGATTCCTCCGGTGGGTTCGTTCGCCGGCGGGTTGGGGTAGCATGACCCGAGAAAGTCTTCGAATTTCGGGCATCCGTCGGTATTCGGGTCGGGCCCTTTCGTCATACCATTATCATATCTCCAGTCTGATAACAGAGCAACCATTAAAGATTCAATTTTTATCAAAAACCCTTTTCTTAAAATTGAAAAAAAATCAGCAATATTTCAATCCGAAAATTGAAAAAAAAAAAAAAAAAAA